ATAAAATGAAAACTTGACAAGAATTGGTAATGTGACATTGGCAAAAAATATTCATAAATATCACAACAGTACATAATATACTCGTGTCATGCTTATTGAACAAATCAACGAGTTGATAATTCACAAACGTAATATCATAAATATACCCGACTTAAAACGAGGCTAAAATTTTAGAATCCATCTTAATAAGTAGGTAACCTTATTTAAAAGTTATATTATTTGAAACGAAAATTGTATTAAAAATAAAAAATTATATACATATAAATTTAAATATAAATTATTTACCTATAAATAATAATTATGAAGAACATTAACTAATTATTATTAAGTTTTTTCTTTAAATTAAACTTCATTACACCTAACTTAAGTTATTTTGTAGTTTTGTAGTTCTTTTTTTCTTTAACATATCTACATATTATTTTAAAAGCACCTATAAAACAATTAATAACCTTTATTAATAAACTCATAAATTAACTCTAAATATTTACAAAACAAAAATTGTTTTAACGGTATTAATTAATTTTGAACCCTTAACATTATACCATATATGTTCAGTGTCTCACTTATAATTTATAAATAATATAATAATTAAAAAAATAAAATATATTCAATATTACAATCGGTTTTTGTATGATATATACATAGATAATATAATTTTAGTATTATGTAATATTATAATATTATTATGTTTTTCACAGATTTAATTGCAATTTTTTTGGGGATGGCAATTGTTTGAAAGTAAAAATCCCTAGACTATATTTTGAATCATTCAACAAGCGAATCGATGACATTAACTCTACTAATAAGTAATAGTAATAAAAAAAAAAGAAAAATCGTCTGCTAAACTTAGTTTTTATGACAAAACGTGACCGTGTTAATAATTGTTACGTAAAGCTACGTAATTGTTTGATATTATATGCGAATTGTGAATTGAGAAAAAACATTAAAAATTGTCTATCGATTATATTGGCAAGTTTCCATTCATCGTCTTTATACTGCTATATCGCTAGACAAACTTTTTTTTATGGATCCATACACATGTATAAATGTTATAATCAAAAAATTAGACAATATAAACATTAAATGTAAGTGTTTCCAACAAAAAAATATTTCGATTAATTTTTATGTTGTTGAAAAAGAAAGATGAGAAACTTTAAAGTTTAAATTAAAAAATTGATCATATTGTTTTTAAATTCACAGTGAATTATATCCAAATTTATTAACAACAAAATATAAAGGTAAAGAAAAATAATACAATCAAACATTCGAATTTAACTAAGACGAAAATCTTTTATAGTAAAACTGATCTCCACTTTGAATATTTTTCAATTATAACTATCATTGGTTTTAAAATAAAAACACACGCCCTGGCTCACCCAATTCTGTATTGCGCTTTTTTTTTAATGATACTATTAAATTAAAAATTAGTTCTAACGTTAATGTATAGCCTTGGAGTTTATTATTTTCAGTTTGAAATTAATATTGTAGTAAATTAAAAATATAAAAATTCTTCAATGAAACTGGTACAATTAATGTAGATGATATACAAGTATAATATATTTAATCAGTCATAAACATACACGCAATACGTAATGTGTAACAGAATTAGTATTAGTACCTTATATATTTATATATTGTATAATAATAATAATAGTAGTAGGTGTTCTATGGTCGGTCTATACTAAATTATGCGAACTGTAGTTAAAGCTGTTTTATATTATAGTAGTGAATGATTATTAATGTTATAATATTAGTAATAAATATTGACCTCACAATTATATAAACAGAAGGAAGTGATGTCTTAGAAATAACACGTTTATTAAAAATAAATGTAAATACCTAAAATAGGTACCCATCAATTATTTGAAATTTAGATATATTTTTAAATATATAAACGATAAATTAGATCATATTATGTGATTAATGATTATGATCATTGCATTATTGAATAGATGGACAAGGTGATAAGAATATTCAGTGTAGGCAATTTCGGGGAGGTAGCCAAAACAAATACATAGGTAGTACCTATGTCATAAGTCGATAAATGATTTGCGTTGTATTTTTGTCTTAGGCACTTATAATAATATTTACTCAGCGTTATAGATATAAATTATAATCTTTAGTTTTATAGATTTAATCGTAAGAAGAATTTATTTTAAAATGTTCCAAATTAAACTGTGCAATAATATAGACAATATGGTAAACACATAAAATCACACAATTTGTTTTAAAAATTTTAAATAAATCAATATCTTAATATACAGAGTTTTAAAATTACAATAAAATTGTTACACAATAATAATAAATTATATCTACCTTAGTTTGTAATATTTTTATGATTTCTAAATTTGAGGAATAAAATATAATTCTAGTTTTAGTAATAGTGTTTTTTGATTAAACGAAATTTGTTTTAACTATTTCATAAACCACATAAATAATCAAGGTTTTTAAAATGTTATGATTCTTTGGCGTATAGGTATCGCTATACTATAAGCTCACATCCACCTATATCCTTTAGTGTTTTTAATTTTTTATGATATGGTGGGGAATTATAGAATGATGGAATTTCCGTGTTTTCTATAATCACTCGAAAACGACTGAACGCTTCGAGGCGCATTCTATTCGTAAACACGAAAATTGAATATGTTTAACCAGCGACGTCTACACACATAACATTATACATACATGGTATAACAATCAATGTTTGTACACATTGTTAGTTTATAGTTTGAATTAATAATTTCATAATCTGAAATTTTCGAGCACAGCGTGCGTTTGAAATATTTATACTGAAGAGCTTTTTCAGCTGTTGAGAAATATAATAGTAGTAATATACGAATTACCTACACAGTATGTCGTTCATGGTCATTTAAATGATACTTAAACAGAGGGGCCAAAAAAGCGGTGGAAGGAGTAAACTTTGCCGACCAAGAAGTGGCATTCAAGGACGGGGAGTCATGGGGAACAGTGAAAGTGCCTTTCGGAGACGCGCTGGCGCCCGCAGGCGCTTCCATACCAGATCACTGCTGCTGAGGCCATTTACCCACGGCGCCTCGGGTACTATCCTACACTCATGTAAGCCTTACCACAACTTTATTTTTTTGTTTATACTTATGTCAATCTGACCCGTAATGCACTTTATAATACGTAATTGTTTTTTTAGGTACTACCTATTTAAGTATAATATAATATGTATTTATATTGCCATAGTCCGTCCTAGGAGTAAATATACTTGTTAAATAATACGTACTACGTTTTACACGAAAAAATAATTATAACTTTTCATTTATAATTTTCTTGCATCATTTAATGATACTTGAAAATGAAGAAAAGATTACAATACTGTTAACACTACAGCACCAAGTATAGCAAAGTAAAGACATTATTTTACTAGACCGTATGATTACCAATGTCCAAGAAAATATTTTTATTATATATTTAAAAATGAACTCTAAGTTATATTAGTATATCAAGATCTAATAAATAATAAAAATAATAATTCATTTAAAAACAATTAAAACTAGTAATTACTTAAATGTATTATCATATCAATATTTTGCATTCAATAGTTTAAATTGTAAATAAAAAAGTTATTGCTGTAGTGTGCTGTAAATTAATTAATTTATAGTTGGTGATAATAAAATGTTTGAATTGTTTTTTTTTCTTATCAATATTATAAGTCAAATAAATTGTTTGGAATTACCTTCGTTATTATTTATTATATAATGTGCATTATGATTTTTAATTGATATTCTGCGAATAAAAATAATATTTTTTGATAAGTTTTTTGCAGACACATTTATAATATATATGATTTATTCGTAGTAACAGCTAACGTATAAGTAAAGTATGATTTGATTTGTATTTCCTAGTACATTATTATTCATTTTTTTTTTTTTTTTTTATGTATATAAATTTACTGAAATTAAAAACATATTAAGTAATAAGTATTGGAAATTATATTATTATTTATTAATTTATTACTATACTATACATAAGTTTAATAAATTCTAACAAAATGTTAAATTGACTATAACCTAATCCGTAGATAATTTAAGAAAACTACAAACTAATACGACTTAATTTATTTTATTGGTTTAAAAAATTAAAATTCAATTTAATATAGATTTGTAAAATAAATATATCATGGTTATTAATTATTTATTTAATAAACTCTATTTGGTATTATCCAATAGATACTTACTGCATTAGACTACATAAATTATAATGCTTTTTTAAAAATTTTACAGTGTACTTAATAATTATAATATATAATATTATACTTGTCAAATAAAAAATTAAATGAAACCACGAAAACTAAGTCAATTAATGAACAAAGGTTAGGTTTTTCGTTATTATTGCTGTTATTAATGATAATATTATTTATATTAAATAAGTATCTTTAAGTATCAATAATTATTTATAATAAGATAAAATGAATAACTAAAAAAAATTACAGCTAAAAAAATTATTTTTAAAATTAATAGATTAAATTATTTTATTTAATAGACTTAATTTAATAAATGTTATAAACTACAATCTTGATAGTGCTGTAATACATCAATGAATAACAGTTTATGCATCCTACGGTATTTAAAATGATAATATAAGATTGTGCACAACAATTAAATTCTATAATTTGAATACCTACCTACAGTGTGTGGGTTATCCATCATATTTAAGTCTATACAGTAACAACTGATGACGCATATTGAATTAAAAGTTGAGTAGTCCAAAAGCAATTTAAAATATAACCATTAATTAAAATCAACTCAATGACTTAACACATCGATAATTAAAAAATAATAATTTCATTGGGGCTTACATTATATCTATAACTATGGATTTTTTAACGATAATACGCTTGCAATTTTTCTAATTTAATTAAAGCTAAGAATTAATGTTCTTTTTTTTTATGTGCCAAAATATTAAAACTAATCTAATATGTCGCTTATGTTATAATCATTATTTGTTATCAATTGATTAATCAAAATTTTTACCTGAAGAATGTTCATGGTGTTGCCGATCATCTTGGAGATGATGCTGTATAGAATCCACGTGAATATGATGATGGTGCAACGTGCACTCGGCATCGGTGCAGTTAAGCATGACGTTTCTCTCTCTAGTAATATGATTGATATGATGCGTAATCTACAATTATAACGTCCTCAAATCCACAGGATATTAAAAATTTCAATTTTCCGTTCTCCATGCGAAAGTCTTGAATGTTTAATAACCCTTGAGATCACCTATGTAATCTAGAACATATAACAACACACTTGATTAACGGATGAATACACGCAAATGACTAAAGGAATAATAATTTATAATATTGTAAATCCTAATCCCTAATCTCAAGGAAAAAAATGTGATTATTTGTACACAATTTTATTTTATTCAATAAACACTCTAATGTGATAATAATGTCATTTATTTTATCTTAGACATTTACTATAGTATTAAACACACAAATTTACACACGACATAAACATGTTTCTAACAACACTCATTTTAAATTAATAGTATGATACACAGCTCAACCTATACATACACACACTCATATTCTTATCAACGTTTATATGTCAAAAATTAAGTGTTTGAGGGTTAATTAGCTGTTATTGTCGACTGTGCGTTTATCGTTAAAATGGAATCATATTTCACACAAATTATTATTGTATACATAATATATTATTAAAGACAATATTATGTGAATGTTCAAAACGTCTTTGAGTGCCCATATCTATTGACGGCAAAGTGTACATGTATATGTGTATATGCACAAATAGCCGGTAATAATTGCACCTATGCACAAATATACGGCTATAAAAATATGCATCACGTATAATAATCGGTTACGGATCCAATTGAAAATTGAAAATCATCATTTTCGGGCGCAAAGGGGGGATGTAGTAGGTACTTTCTTTTTTCTTGTTTGCCAAACTCAAGTTTCCACCTACGAACGAGCATTGCGAAAATAAAATGATAATTACTATGCGCGCTATAGGATCCCACGGATTGATCACAATGACTATGCAGACCTCATTAGAGCCATAACGTTGTAACGGTTCGATATAATATGATGTATATTGTATGCTGCACGATCGTTGATGTATTTTAATTGACACAGAAAATACAATAATTGTGGGGACATAGATTTGTATGATTTGGTTTGTCATGAAACAAAAGCCATCGATATTGCAAAAATAACAATTTCTTGTTCAACTGTTTCACAATAATAGTATAATTGTAATATTTTTTTATATATAATATAATATAATATAATATATTTATATATATTATAAAGTTAAGTGCAAATTATTTGAAAATAATTGTTCACTGTTACCTATTTAGAGTGTAAAACGTATTTACATGGTATATGTATTATAATAAAACGGCGTGACCTATTATACTGTTGTTTATTGATGAATTACATCGCAGTCGTTCAATACGCTTTGCTTAAAAACTCGTCGAATGAAATTCAAAGTTTCCGGTTCTTGAATATAGGTATATTTTACTATATGAAACTAATACACTATACAATGAATAGTATGCAATATACATACTGTGTATACTATAATATATATATACAACCACAATCATTTTATATAGTTGTATTATTGTTGAATACTAAATAGAAATTTCCAATTTCACTCATAGATACTTGTGACCTTTGCCTGTTCGAGATTTTCATTTAAATTATCTTATGACTAAATGTTATACTTTTTGATATAAATAATTTTATGAATTATACCTTCAGAATTTATTTAATTTTATTATTTCGAACTTATCAATGTAAATATTTTTCACTTTTTCACAATTGACATTTAGGTATTAAAAATTAATAATAGGTTCCTGTAATTATTATTGAACAGTGTCAATTAATAAAACTTACATTAATAATAATAACTAAAAATATATTCATATTACTTGAAACTTTGATAAGAAATGTGTAAACTTATATATTGTATAATATACTATATATTTTAATTATAATTTTTCTTTTAAATTTCAATAAATAATTTTAAGTAGTTAAATATTTTACGAGTAGATAATATATTAATTTGAAAAATGATAATGTACATTTATAAGTGATAACTGATTACTATTACCAACTAATAAAATAAAACATATACATATTATTTTAGTACTACATTTCATCATAAATATTATTTCACGAAATTTGGGCTTAACACCAAACACATAACCGGCTATAGTGGAACTCATAATAAACTAAATCATGTTTCCGGTATACACTTATAATTTGCACTACGTCTGTCATATAAAATAATATTTATGTAATCTAGACCATTAGTGCTCAAATGGGTTTTCAATTTGCTTGCGAAAGTTAATTAGACGCTTGCATATATATTGTTCTAATATTAAATATATATATATTCTCACCATTAAACATAACACTGTTATTGAAAAAAATATTCAGGTAGTATATTACAGTAGCCTTTTATGGTTTTAATATATAAGTTGTCTATTCATTACAAGTTAAATGAATACATCCTGTTGGTACACAAACGCTATGTAGTATACAAACAAATCTATGAATATATTTATTGTAATCCTCATTAGTTTTTACTAAAATCGAATTATGATGATTTTTATTTATTTATTAATTTTTTAATGTTATTATATTTATTTTTCCGTCAATAAAATATATTTAAATTAATTTAATTTTTGTTTTACTTATTTAGGCAAAAAAAAATAAATCGTTGGCATTAAAGAATATTTTATTTATAATTAGTAAATTAAATTTTTTAAATAAAAACATTAAGATTATAATATTAGTTCCCTGTCTAAAATAATAATAACTTTTAATAAGTTTATAAATGTGATAATAAAAATTATAAAATCAAAAATAATAATTAAAATGTATATAATAATATTTCGTCATTTTTTTTTTTTTTTTTTTTTGAGTAAACAATTAGAATTAGAAGCGAAACTATTATCCATAAAAATTGTATGTCTTAGAAAAACATTTTATTACTTAAAACAGACAGCTATTCATGATCGTAATACGAGATCTGAAAATCTAATATATCCCAAAATAAACACATTAAATATTATAACAGTTATCTAATAACTGAATTAAGATTATATAAAATCTCTTAGTTCAAATAAAAAATTGTCAAAAGTTTTTAATTTTATTTTAAAACATTAAAAAGTGAACTAATTTTGTAAAAAAAAATTATCAATACTATATAATATTATAAAATTTATATTTTTTATTTAGTATGAATTTGATTATTATATTCTTCTCATTATTATTGTATTTTTTCGATATATAGGTACTTGATTATTAAGCAGTTAACTAATTTGTAAAATAATTTTATCAATATTATAAACTTAAATTTCTATAATTATATAAATATTAATTTTATTATTACTATTAAGTTTATAATTAAATTGTTCTTATTATTATTACTTTTAAAGACTCTTGTATATTATTAAATTAAGAACTTCATCCTTAGTGAAAGACGATGCAACGTAATATCAATTATACATAACCTATTCTTGTAAACCTCGATTATTATTATTATTAATAAAAATACAATTAGTGGTATGATTAAAATATAATAATTTGTTTGATCAAATATCCTATATTAAATGTTAAAAATTTATTATAACACTTGGCCAATTGTTATCAATATACTTTTCTTTTGACACATTTTATGTAAAGGTCATTTATAAGCATTAATTAATTAAATACAACTTATACAGAAATCTTACATAACAATGGAATATAGTTAAATATCCTATACGCTATTAAAGTAAAATTAATTGAAAATCAGAAATTTTCGTTAACGTATTTTAAAAAGGTTAAGTCAATATTTAATTTAATTAAAAATTTGTTTGTGAAATATTTACTGCAGTAAATTATACTATCCATAAGATTATAAATTACCTTTTTATCAGTAGAATTAAATTAAAGTTCTAAATTAACAAACTCGTTTATTCAAATGGATTAAACAACAATATAGTATTATATAATATAATACTACTCAGAAAAAAAATAATGGTCAACATTTTATAATATAACATTAAATGAGACATTATCCAAAGTAACAGATTTTTTTATAGTTACATTATTTTTATTTTTAAATGTTTTACCAGTTATTTTTTATAGTATAAGTAAACACACATTACATATTAAATATTGATATGATTATCAATTCGACTTGTAATAGTATCCCTATTATATGTTGAACTAAAAAAATATATTACATATAAAATACAGTATATATATTTATATCAATTTAAATGATTATATATCGCATGTGACTGCGATACTGATTAATGGGAAGGAAACTAAATTCTACTACAATATATTATAGCGACAAGTTGATACTTGGGTGTGCCAAAAAAAAATTTAAAAAACCTTCTCTTACAATTTCTGAATCGTTACGCGTTCTCCTACAGTCTACACCATAGGTAGAAAGCCTGAGGTCGTGTAGGCTACACACTGCAACCACTGCCGTTGGTACTGCAACAGTATACTATAAAGCCACGTCATCGACAATTTTAATACACGGCCACCGATTATTAAGTCTTTATTAAGCACTGCCATCGATCTATTCTATCTGTCGTCTATCGATCGGTTTCGTTGTTGCAAAACATCGGGTTAGGCACCTGATCACTGCCGACACTGGAGAACCGGTCCTCATGGGCTTTGCCAATGTTATGCCACTGCCTATATGTACATAATAGGCGCAGTCAGTCAGTCGAGGTTTTTGAACCTCGTTGCTCATTCATACATTATACGAGCCAACAATGTCACACTGCAAATTATGAGGAAACTATAAACATCTTTTTATGACGACGATATTGCAAAATTTGAAGAAGTGTAACAGCATTTGCAGCTACGCGGCGTGTAAATATTATATAATATATTTTAATTTGTTTGTTCTGTTGAGTGAAACCCAATCACAGCACTTATTGACCTCTGCAATAATCCGCATGGACACTTTATGGAACCTTTCACTAAAATGTAACGCACACGATCAAACTTATAACTCGCCACCGCCATACGTACGGCGTATAATAGGTAATGTTTTATTGTTTCGCTGAAAATGCATTCGCGTGCGCAACGTATACATAATACGTTTCCCATACACACGCCGCAGTAGCAATTCTAAATAGGAAAGAACCTTGATGAAGTTCCTTATTTTTTCACTTCCTGCAGTAGTATAAACAAAACTGATAGTGTTAGAAAAATTCCACAAGCCCCGGCGCACAAAAACGTATTGATTTTCATTGACACGCATATAATATCTACATTATGTGTGTAAGTATTATGAGTTATGAGCTATGACGCATAGATGGTAATCATTGTGTTCTGTGAATTATTATTACAAATAACACGTTGTAGTTTCGTGCATTATATTTCCAGTGCGTAAAGTACGATACAGATTGTTTGTGGTCATCTCTATCGAACATTAACAGTAGAATCTTTGATCCGCGGCTCTGATCGATCGGTGGTAGTGTATACGCAAAGAAATCATTACTATTTATACATCGACTATAATACACTTATCAAGGTTTGGCTTTATTTTATGTAATATATAATAGATACACATTATAATATTATTACGACGTTAGAAATTACTGCGTAGAACGCTTATGGCGTTGCGCTCGCGTAAGTGTATACGATTTTCGAATTATATCTTTCCTATTTAAACGTATATTAACCTCAATGTGAAAAAAATCGAACATTTCTAACCACGCTATTAGTGGAAACGAGTACCATAATATGCAAATGAATTCTAATCGTCTAAATACAGTAAGATGTATATTTGGAATAAATGATAACATTTCGCGAATCACGCATACAAATATATTCGTCTGAACACGATCATTTTAACGATGAATTGATTTTTAAAAATTAGACTTAACTACACATGAGAATAATATTACCATATTCAGTTCAAGTACTATCTCGTCATAATGTCAACAAATTAGTATATGTTATATAACTTCACTTAGGAGTTTACAACAGTTTTCGAACGTTTTGGTTTCATACTCGTAATATGTTAATTTGTTTTTGCAAAGTTATATATTCTCTACATGCACGTCTAGTTAAAAAACAAATTTGTCTTATGTTTATTTTTTTTAATCTGCTATTGAATTTACTCATGGTGAGGTTTTATAAATGTCTGTAGGCCGGCAACCGTAGTAAACTCGTCGTCGAGTTCGTTGGTATAATTAACAGGTACCTAAGTGATAACCAAAATATTTTCCATAAGTTATCAATCTTAAAACAACAACTGTCCGATTTTTCCGTATCCGTTTCGCTATAGTCCTATTCACGATAATTTTCGATTGTCACTACCATTCGCGAATATATAAAATATAGTTAAGTTGCGTATATATTCGGTACAAAATTTAAGGAAAACGAATCTTCAAAAAGTTTCTATATCAATTCCGGGCCTATGAAATGATTTGCATGCCCCCTTCCGCTTAGAGGATTATTGCACTGGGCGCGTGTTCATAAATCAATAAGATGCAAATTAGTCACCTATTATACGCTATGGGGATAATTTGTTTTACTATGCCGTTATTTAAAATTTATTATTGACATTTTAAGACTTACTGCGCTTAATTTGAGATATTGTTCAGATTCGAAAAACCTGAATGAGACTTCGATTAGGTAAAGTAATTTTAAAGTAATCGTTCAATATATAATTAATATTAAGTATTATTTATGCATTATCATCGGTCTGTTTATATGTATTGTATATACAACGTGGGTATAGGGGATCCAATCGTCTCCTGACTTTTTTTTTGAGACATTAGAAGCTCCTAAAGAACTTTTTTTTTTTGCATATAAATGAGAGTTTAGATTGGGTTTTTTCATAGATCTAAATCCCTCTTCCCTATACAAAATAGTTATGTATAAGTATGCCATTATTCACATATGGTATTATAGACCCATATTATATCACGTATATTATATTGTAAAATATTTAAAGCATTATTGTGTTATTGTATAGTTAACAACGATGTACTAAAATTGGGTATGGTTAGATTTCTGAAGGAGAGAGGAGCGAAGTATGAAAAGTGTCCCAAATATGTTTTAAAAAACAGGATAAGACAAGTGAAAACATGTCTTTAGAGAACAGCGCATACAATTTGAAAATTTTACCTATTATGTAAATATTCTATTATTTCTAAAAGTCTTAACTTTTTATAATATCATTTTTAAAGAATAATTTTTTCCATTGTTTTTTATTTTTTTGAATATCAAAATACATTTTTTATTTTATATTCTAAAGTAGAATATTTTTTAATGTGTTTAAATACATTAAAATCGAACTTCAAACAAATATAGTTAATTGATGACTGCACCCAACACTTCTTTAATAATACTATTTTATATAAAAAAAATTAATCATAAGTATAAACTAACGAATCATTAAATATTATAAATTAAAATTGTTATAAAAACAATTTTTCTGTACAAATTATTGGACTAGACTGTTTGTTATTTTTTTATATGATTTTTTCTAACTGGTGCTTTGCCCACTATTTAATACTATATTATTACATACGAGTAGCATATTATCTACTACGAGTGGTTTTCAACGCTCCTACTATTACTACGATATTACTACTACTATTATTGTTATTATTATTTATTATGTATAGACCTTGATCTGATCATTCTTTCAGTATATACATTTATAATACCTATATATATTATGTATAATATGTCTATATTCAGATATTTTCTTTGAAATCATGAATAGATGTATGTTTGTGTACCTATTCAGAAATGTGAAAGGTGAAAGAAATTTTAAATGAATGGTCTACAACTTACAAGTAGTAATAATATGTGATATAAAGACAAATATATTTTATTATCAGCACCATTTAATTTACTTGAAAATTGCAATGTACCTAATCATCACATATCAAAACAATTTACTTGACTTTTGAATTTTTGTAAAACAATAATTCATACAGCATATTATTTATGAAATGAATATAATACAAAAATAATAAGCTATAAAACAAAAACTAAAATTAAGTTTAATTTGAATTCATTAATGGCTTATATTATAATATACAATCATATAGTTTTGACTCTAAATGTGTTCGTGAGTATTAATAACTGCACTATAATATGTATATTATGATACTCTGCATTATATCATTGCTAAACGATCTTGAAAATAAATTATTGTTGCATGGCATTTGAGCTCATTTTTTGTTTTAAAAATATTAATAATATTAATGAATGACATTTTAATATTTTAGTTTACGTTTATTTTATTCTTATCGTATAATTATATACGTATTAGATAGTGCTTACCCCAAATATTTTATAAAATTTAAATAGATACATTTATATTTAATTAATAACTATTGATATCTTAAATTTAAATACCTATGTAAGATATAAATGTATAAGTTATGTAAAATAGAGGTAATTCATAATGATGAACTAATATAAAGAAATAATAATTTCAAAGACATATAATTAAAACTATCTATACCTATATTTTACGCTATTATTTTTAATGAAAGCTTAATGCTTAATGAAGCGTAATGAACGGATAATTACATCCTTAGAACTGTATAAAAGAGATGAAACGAAATATATATAAAAATTAGTTAACCGAAACAATATCTAAATGCTTAAATTTACCTTAACGATTCAATTTTTTAATTAGACATTTTATAGTCTCTATAAGATCAATTCTCATTCGGACATGAATCCAAGAACATTACGATAATTTAAATGAATAATAATCTAAGTCTGACCATCGAATCTTTTTGTCACCAATGATCACGATTTTGTGTCAAGGGAAATTAATTTTTAATTTATTATTAATATATTTTTATTTTTTATACAGAACAATAATTAAATATCTTATGCCGTCGAAAGGTCAACATGTGTCGTGTATAGATCGATATTATATTATTATTGTTAGCGTGTAGGTACATGAACACGGTGTAAGTATATCGTATACCTATAGCCTATATATTATTAAATATTTATATTATAATAAATTATTTATGTATATATTTATTAAAATGACGTATACCCTCCACAAATGAGATTACGAACCTTTAGTTCGGATCCAGCGGGTGGCGATTTATTCACAAGGCATGTCCGTCATCGAACTAAAATGCAATATTATAATATTATGTCGAAACAAACGCATCGTCGACAACGATAACGTAATGGTTATTAAACGGTTTTAATATTATTTTATCGTGTATATTATGCCTGTTATACGTTTTACTTTTTCTCAAATCAGAATGATATCGTGTGGTGGGTAGATCAGAGGATAGGTGTATGTAGAGTAGATTAATGTAATGTCAAATGCGTCGGAAGGAAATTATAAACGAAAGTGATAATGAATAAAAAAAAAAAAAACAAAAATAATCAGAGATCGGCAAAAAAAATGAAAACGATTTAAATAAAAAAAAAACAAAAACGAAAAAATTCGCGCGATTTGCGAATATGATTGACACCGGCGCACACTGACCCGCGGCGTCCGCAATGTTACACGCGCTGCGCGCTCTCGCACACACGCACAAGCTCACGGGACCCGCGCACTGCACACTGCGCGCAAACACACACACACACACACACCGACGACACACGCGCGCTGCACACACACGGTTCGCGCACACGGTTCGCTGAGACCGCGATGGCTAAGGAGCAGAAGACGGTACGTCAAACGGACTGACGTGAGACGCGGCGCACACGTATATAATGAAATGGTAGCCGCGGAATGATATTGTAACCAGCGGTCGCGTACGTCTATTGCAGCAGCGTAGACGCGCGAACGGGCACACACTCGCGGGGCGCGCTCACACGCCGCACACACGCACGCCAGAGGTACAGGCCGCCGCCGTCTCGGCGGCCCCTTCCGCCGGCGAGCGGTCGTCGTCGGGGGGAACCGCCCCACCTTCGGGGTAACCGGTCCGGCGACGGCGGCGTACACGCCCGGACGAAACGAAAAACGAACAGTGACTCCATAACGAACGCCATGGTATAGGTCAACGGTTCCGCCGTTTTCCAGTTTTTGCGACAACATAATAATAATAATATCGTATGGACGACACGCGCTTGTGTCCACGTTACGCGCGCTTTACATTGTTATGTGTGTCACAAAGTTGTGTCGTACGTATAGATGTTATTACTTAGGTGCGCTGCAAGTGTGTTTGTGTATTATTGTGTATGTGTGTGTGTGTGTGTGTGCGTGTGTGTGTATGTGTGTGTGTGTTCCGTGTACGAACCTATATTGTACGTATTATATTGTAATATACGTGCGGTGTATGCCAAGTTTCGATCGAGAATACGAAGTATCGAAACTTCAATAAAGATCACACATTTCAGGTCGTCGTATTTGTCGTCGTTGTCGTCGTATGTCGTATTGATGTATGAAGTATGTAGCTAATGTGTCCTCTTGCTACGTAATCATTTCCGTCATCGTCATGTTATGTATTTTGGTGTTTAGGACAGAGACCGTTAAAATATTATGATAATGCAGAATTATTGTAATGTAATGTTACGATTTTGTACTGCGCGAGACACGCGTCGCACACAGTGTAAACGTTTATAATAATAGGTACATTTTGAGCGTAAATCCTAACCAAACTGGACCTAGATAATCGAGAATCAGACGTGAAAACAAAACGATTATATTTCATAAAATCAACTAATATAGCTGTGTAATTCGCTGTGGAATATTCTCAGTTAACGTCAGTTGCGTAAAAATTTTAGTTTAAAAACCTACGAAGAGAACACTATAAAAATTAAATTTTGTTTTTGCTTTCCTGTAAAATTAAAAACGAAAAAGTAACAATGCCATTAAATAAAATACTATCAGTCGTTTGGAAATCTAAGTCGTGTAGTTGTAACCCATACAGAATGTTGTAATTCATCGAGTTTGTATGCATCTTGTTAATATAATACAATAATACAACATTACTTACATATTAGATCTAAAATAATTGTATTCGTTTTAATAGTTTACAAAAAATTCTACCAGCTACGCACAAAATTAAATATTATTAGTATTTTATTATTTTAATAAATGTTACAAGCACAATATTTATGAACGCAACAAAATAACATTACCCATGTATGCTGTAATTTATACAAAATAAAATAGTATGTATTTTTTATTATTATGACTTTGCGATGCGTGTATAATATTTAAAAATGTTGGAGCAATACAGGTTTTACTATTTAACAAAACGTCAATATTCTCTCGAATTTTCTGATATACATTAAAGTTTGTCATAGTAGGTACCTCCACTAGAACTAGATATTAAAAAATATAACTAACAATAATCTTGTTACATTATTATGCAATTTAATTCGATTGATATAATAGATCATTATGTCTACAGTCTACAATAATAAAATGGTTTAAACATAGGAATTAAACTGATAACTAATTGTTTTCTTATAAGTATCATATCTTAAACATGTGTGTATTATATATAAATGTATAATTCACACACACGCATATATATAAATACGAAAAAATAATATATTATTTTGTATCTAGAAACCCATGCTTAATTTAAAGTATCATATTACGACTCAGCCCTCTGCGGATATAAACTAGGTAGTAATAAGTTGCTTGTCTACGGCGCAGTAATGCTGGTAATGGTATCTGTACCTTCGAGAGTTCACCGAGGTTTTCACTAATCATTGCCACCGGCATTAGAACAGTCACTATAAATGTCAGTTCCCACGACTGGTATGTTACATTCGACAAATTCACTAATTTATATAGATAGGTGTGACAATAGAAGTCGAGTGATTCTCATAATAATAAGGTACCACATGGATTTGTTGGGCTCGGCGCACTGACAAGCACAATGGATACGTCGAACACTGTAATCTTATTTACAATATTATCTAACGATATATATTTTTTTATTGTGGCGGGGAGAGGGACTAAATCGTATATTTTAATTTTTCCCAATATTTAAGGAGGACTTTGACGTAGTGTACTGTTTATTTAATAAATAACGTACTGGACGCAAAAATAGTATGACATAATAATACTATGATTATAAAATATAAATGTTTAGTGTTTTCAAATAAATTTTATTTCAGTAAAAACTATCATAAGCTAGGCTTGTGAGGGTTAAAGCTTTCTTTAGTTATGCACATCTAAACATGATGTTGTAGATGATATTTCTAAAAGCCACTTAACCAATTAATCCCACCATCTCCCTTTATTCACGTCATTAATAATGAGCTATGATATATTATATGACTAATGGTATCAATAAAATTTTAACTAAAAACGGATTAATACAATAAAAAATAATCTTATAAGTATAGCTCAGTTATATATACCATACAAATTCGCGTGGCATTGAAGTTCACGACCAACGATAGGCTGATATATTTTACGTAGATAAGTCGTGCAATATAGTCTCAAGTGCTAGCATTAATTTAAATTCGTACCTATTGTTTTTTTTTTGTTTTTTATGATATTATTATTTAGCTGACTATCAGACTATTAAGAATGATGAATGTTATGATGAAATGGCATTACAATTCATCACTTTGAACAATGAATTAGGTGTAATAATATAATATTATAATCATGAACATTGGTACAAGAATATAATTTTTACTTTTATATCACAATAGTAAATAATAACTATGTATACCAATGGCCTGGCACTTGATACAATATGGAATACGGAGACCAGGTTAGGTTAACTAACTCGATACGGATAGCGATTTAATAGTGATCTATAATTAGTTATTACCATAAACCATTGCATTTTAAAAACGATTACGAAATAAGCTCATTTACCTTAGAGTTTTACACTAATTTACTATTTTTCATGCTTTAAGTTTTTATTTATTTAGTTTATTTAAAAAAAAATTATCAATTACATATTTTTACATTTCTTTATTGAATATAGCAATAAATACTAAAAATAACTAATAAATAACTATGAGTATAACTTAGTAAATTGTAATTAAATGTCATGTCTTGATATTCAAAGAGACAAATTATAAGTAGGTAACAGAAATTTAAAAACAAACGTCAACACGTTTAAAAAATTTGTCCTAAGCTCCTAACTCAAACTATATATAGTACACATCACTATTCACCCATGTAAAAAATATATTTATTTTTCAATTGAGTAATAAACTTATAGCAAGTTATAAAGTTAATAATTTTTAACTCTTATATAATATACCAAGCTACAAAAAACATAAAAATAAACTAAATTAAAACAACAATCTGAAAAATTCTAAATTCAAATCATTTTATTTCCATAATTGTATGATAAGTAAAATCGTAATAATGTCAAATTTCTTAGATTAATATATTATAAATTATTATATAATAAAATAATTAAAATCGATTCTATTAAAAGCAGCCATACAAAAATAAATAAATAAATATTATAATCATACATAGACTATCATAGTACCTATTTAATTACTCTACACAGAATATTCTAAAAAACTGAAACCCCGTAATCAAAATATGTATAGACCTGCAATTTCCAACAATATAAAATCAGATTTTATCTATAATATTTTATATCACAATACTGAATGTATATATGTAATGCTATTTATGATATTCTTATAAGAACACAATGTAATATTTTATGTTGAAATGGCAAAACGCATTACATAAAAATTAACAAATCGATTAATTCTATATACTTGTATTTTATATATGTTTATTATACGAGTATATCATAATATTCTAATAACTTTTAAATTAAGAAGTAATTGTGATTATAATTTATAAACCTTGATAAATTTTATTAATTAATACAATTCTATGTTTACAAAATTAACTACAAAGTGAGTCAATTGTTAATCTGACATTTTTTTAAATATAAGAATGCACCTAATCTACATATATAGCTAGATTTTACGTTAGGTACAAACAATTTATACAACATACATTATACATACTAAATATTTTGAATTGTTCATGAAATAAGAAATCATCAATTATTTTATTTTAATTAAATAACATTTTACAGAGAATAAATTATTTCATATTTTTACATAATTAACAAAAGCAAAAAAAAACATTGTCTAAAGTTTTTATTACCATCGTATTTTCACACGACATCAATAATCTGATATTTTGAATCTCCAGTTTTACAAAATTACTTATGGTTTTTATTCCTATGTTAGTGACTATAAGAAACTTTTCTACTCCAGTCAATAATAAATCATAATATTTTATAATCACCTATAGACTATAGGTATTAATATATTGTATTTTATCGTTACATAAAAACTAAAACAATAATAAACCATGTTTCTTCACAAACCTTGACATAAAATGAAAACCATTAGGATGATTTAACATATAACAAATAGTATATTCTAATCGAACGATTAGAAATATTATTGTTATTTTATGTATGAACACTATAAACATAATGTAATATCATAGTATGGATAAACAAAAAAAGAAAGAAAAAACGCAATTTTTCCGCCTGATTATTGTGATGATTTTTAATATCAAGGCCGATAATCAAAACGTATATCGCAGTAACGCTCCCAAACGCGCGAAGGTCTGCCTGCGGATAACCTACAAGAGACCTTTTGTGAATGCACTATAATAGTCAACAATAATAATTGAGCTATTGAAGACTTAATAATTGTATAGGTAATAGGTATACTCATAGATATCGTATCTAAACATTGTATCTACACAACGTCTTGGCATACCTTCCGACGACGATTGTTACTGCCGGTACTGTATACAGTATAGACATAAATTTACTGGTTAGTGGAGTAATACAAGT